CTACTACTACTGCCCCTCCTCCTACGACTACTACTACTACTACTACTACGACTACTACTGCAATGGATGACTATGGCCATGGCTATTACTACTATGAATGCTGCTGCTGCTGCTGCAGTCCTGCACGTTTGTTTAGGACAGGACAGGACACACAAGAAAAACAACGTCGCGGCCCAACTAGTTCAAACGCGGCTGCCTAGGTGGGATTTCCTGGCCTATTCGAATCCACGCTTCTGTGTCATCCTCACCGTGGTTTGAGGTGCTAACAGAGAGAGCCAGGGAAGCTTCTTGTCAGAATTGATTCATGTCGTGGCGCTTGTTGCCCCTTGCCGTTGTCATGCTTGAGAGAGATCAATAGAGGACCCAGGACTTGTTATCAATCAATATATATATATATATCAATATTAATCATATATCGACGAACCATATCATTGGACTATCACTGTGACTATGCCGTGAACTGTAGCGGTGGTAAAGTGTCACACGTGATAGCAAAACAATGAAACATTCATGAACTCATGACTCATGTCATGAATAATAATAATATACGTTTTTTCTCCCTAGAGGCTGTTGGCCTTGCCTGCTAGACGCTCAGGTGGTGGGATTTGCAGCGGATGAAATACACAGACAGGGCAGGACTGATCTTGTTTACGCGGACATCTACCATTCAGCCAACAGGTATGGCACAGGAAAGGGAGACATGGTACCCATTTGCCTACCCCGTTCGCAAATGTGGAGTTTTCATCGCCGACGGCTTCTTCTCGGAGAAGAATTGATGCGGCTTCAAGGTCACACTGTCTCAGATACTCAACTTGACACTGTCACCAATGCCCAAATGACAGATTTGGCTGGAAACGCGCTTCTTGTTTGGCACAATGATATGCAATTGGCAATGATATATTATTTATATAATCCATTTGATATGATAGGGATTAAAAGTTAAGAGAAGCGTGATTACATGTTTAGTTAAATCTTTTTTTATAGAACAACTACATTGGGGGTGGTAGTTCCACATGTCCAGGTGTGCTATTAGCTATGGCTATTGTCAAGGCTATTGTCCTATTGTCGCCGCAGTGTTCAATGCTGGTACCCCCACGCTTGACTTCAGGTTTGCTGGCAATGTTCTGATTGCGGTGCTCATGGCTTGCATGTGCTCGGTGCAGTTTGTCGATGTTGAGCAGGAAGAAGAGAAACATGAAATCTTCACAATGGTGAATTCTCTTTTGAAATTTGACTGATGAATGGGCAGTTGCACTCGTATGGGGGAATCTCACGCAGTGTAGCGATGATGAAGATGAATGATCAGCGAAATCGCTGGTGGAATCCTGACCCCGTCCTGTACAGATACTGACGACTTACAGCCTTCCAGTCCGGGGAAAAAAGCTAGGCAGCTGTTTCCGAACACGCCCGGAATGACTAGCGCAAATACTCGCTGACTCGTACACCCACTCGTACGCTACCCGTACACCTACTCGTACGCTACTCGTACACCTACTCGTACGCCTACTCGTACGCAGTACCCTACTCGTACACCTACTCGTACACTATACTCGTACACCTACTCGCTATACTCGTGCGCTTTAACCCGCGCATATCACGTACATGTTTGCAAGGGTATGCCATCAGCGACCTTTATAATGAAGCTAAGGTTTGTGCCTTTGTTTGCAGAGCGCTAGGTTCCAAAGCCACGAGGGTCGTGCTTCGCTGCTTAGCCGGGCGGATAAAACAACTGGACCCGTGTGCCGTTGTCGGTAGCTTCCCCACTGCGGAAGTGTCATGACTGGTGCATTGTCAAAAGCACAACTTATGCGGGCAAACGGGATGGCAAGCAGTTCCGCAGGGAGAGCTGTTAGGGCATGGAAAGAAAGGATTCCTCTGTCCGTGGTTGGAGATCTGATGTGGTCTGGCCATTGCAAATCCGGTGCTGTGGGCCCAGCCAGCCCGAGGTCGACCAAGTGACGATAGACCGCGTATCTGTCGCTTATTGTTTCACCCGCTAGTAGAACGCCACTCCTTGTGAGGCATACTTTGCCTCTGTCGACCAGCAATGCACCCCGTTGCAACCAACACCCTCCTTTCAGACCTCAACCTTCCATCCGTGGACCGCGTGGACAGCCGCCGCATTGAAGTCATTGCCAAGCATCCTTCCTTCGCGCTTTAGCAAGGGCCAGGGCCCGGTCTGCACCAGCACCACTCCGGGCGGCCACGATTGCTGGACTTGTGGGTCGATGGTCCGCCCTCCTCACCCATGCAGCCCAAAATGCCTGTGCAGCCAGCTCAGTCGCCGACGCCATCGCCAGCAGCACCAACGTCGATGGAGACACCCCCTGCCTCAGTGACATTCTGGCGCAAGCCCCCTTGACCCCACCCCCGTCTCCCGCCTTGCCTAAGGCATGGACTTGGCGACCCCTGGGGCTGGAGACTGGCCAGTATAAAAACAGTCCATCGCAATGCGCAACTGGAGACTGGCCAGTATACAACAGTCCACCCAGACATCAGACCTCAGCGCGGAAAAAGGTGCGAGGAAAAAAAAGAGTGGTGCATCAGAGAGGATGCTGGTGTCTCGAGTCACTTGGGTGATGACGTGGAGCAGCCGCACACATGTGTAAGCTGTCTCAGGCTTGGGCAGAAGGAAGAAGCGGAAGTCCAGGTGCTTCAGAAACTAAAACTTCCGCACGGTGATCCAATCTCCCTGCCTGGAAACAATGGCATTTTACAGCAGTCATACGATCGTGCCATGAATCTTGAATGTGCTGGCCAATTGTGACAGGGGCTTGCGTGAGAGCAACGACCCAGTGCACAATCCAAAAGATCATGTGGTTGTGCAATGGAGAAGCCAGTCCTTTGCCGAGCTCTCGTTTGGAGGAAGGCCCTTTGGTGAAGTCATCCCACCTGGTGACGAACTCATTTCGCCTACGGTTCCCTTCTTTGCCCACGAAGATCCAGAGGATGCGGATATTGAATGTGGATCGAAGACCCTTGACCAAATCAGGCAACTCCCAACGTTCCTGGAACCGCTTACCTTCGTTGAGCAGCGCTACAAAGGCATGAAATCGAGTGATGACGTCAAGATTTCTGCTGCCCTTGCGTGGGAGAACCCACCCATGATCTACAACATCGAAGTGGTACGTGATGATCCCATTGGATGTCTGCAAACAAAGCTTGATGAGCTCTACCCCTGGAAATGCCAGGTCTATGTCAGCCCAGTGCAGCTACCTTGAGTTGTCATTGGGCCGCTCTTGCTCGTTCGAGAGTTCGACCGATCCTCCGATGCCCTCGTCATATCGCCAGCAACAATGACGCCACCTGGGTCCATGTCAAAGCAGTCACCAGATCATTTGCTGCGTCCACAAAGGTCTCTACTTCTTATGGGGACCACCGCTTTCTCACGCACAACTACCACCCAATTGTTGAAGACCGGGACTTCTGCCACACAAGTGACGTCCTGAGTATCACCAGGATTGCTGATCAGGTTCATGCTGGTGGACACCACTCAGACGACCATGTTGAACCACTACCTGCTGGGGCTTCCTTCAGTCAACGAGCAGAGTTTGCACAGTCCACGCACGGATGGGCGGCGTCTGATGAATTCCTGGCGTGTCTCGGCCTTCTCCAGCAGCGCATCCAATCGTGGCAACCTGGACATGTTGAATTTGAGGAGGGTCCCTTTGGAGAGATGCACTTTGCACCTGTTGGTCGTTCCTGTCTGATTCTTCTTGTGGGTGCGCATTGGGCCTTGGTTGAAGTCAATCGCAGCCAGAATGGGGTGCGCGTTGCCATCAATGGACTTCCTCAACAGTTAGCGCAACGTGTGGCCATGATCATGTGCAGGCTCATGGATGTTCCGAGCCTCACAGGGCTCGGCTGTGTTTCAGCCTTGTTCAACCTGCCCCTCACATCTGTGGGTGGACCAATATCCTTCGCCTCTTCACAAGGGCGGAGGTCCTGGACTACTTGCCAGATCAAAACTACCTATGGTCCACCCTCACCGAGAATGAGCAACGAGTCATCAATCAGGTCCAAGCCGCTTCCCAGACAGATCGGCCATCCACATCAGCTGATGCTGTCCTTCGTGGCTTTGCTTACAATCTGAGACTGCAATTCTTCATCGAGCTTGCCCTGCGTGCCCGACACCAAGATGCTGTGACGCTTCGCTCATTGCGGGCTTGCTTTGGGCCTTCGGTTGCTGATACGGGATCAGCTGCCTCTCAATCTGAGATTGTTGCGCAAGCCACTTGCTACCATCAATGGTCTGATGTGCTGCAATTTGCTGATGATGCCAGTGATTTTCGGCCACTCACTTTCTTGTCCAATGGCAGCTTCACGGGCCCTGGTGATGGTTGCAGCAGCATAGTAGATGGAATCCTGACGAACTCAGTTGCCACGGCGGCACTCATACAGTCCGAGGTATTGCCCTATCTTCGTGTTCAACACCGACCAGCTCGTGCCTCGTTCAATTGGAAAGTGATTTGAAAGGGCACACGCTTTACAAACCCGCCTCCCTGGTCTTGCCACCGTCCTTCTCTCTTGACACTGCTGTTGAGGCGCACCAGAACTGGCAGCAAGCAATCGATGTTGAGAACATCTGGGCTGTTGCCAACCAGAACTGCATTGATACCCTTGTTCAAGCTGGTGCACAGTGGGGTTCGGGTCCAAAACATCGTGGGCAACTTGTTCAATCCAGACCCGAACATGTGTGTCCAGGTCAACACCGCAGTGGGGCTGCAGCCACTTCTCGCCCTTCGTGGTTCACAAACACCTTGAGAGGGTTGTTAGACATTCAGGCCTTTCATTCACAAAACATTCAAGCGGGTGCACGACGTGCCATTGCTTCAAAAACCATTGTTAAAGCGAACCCGCCTTTTCAAACTGCGGGCACCCTGCCTGTGGCCCTACCACCAATGGCCAACGCTAGTCGAAGTTGCTGGTGCCATCCAATGGACCCA